GTCTCTATATACTTTTTTTCCCCACTGTATATATATATATATATATATATATATATATATGTATATATATTAGTCTCGCATAGCCAGACCTTCAGACTGACGGCAGAAGGTCTGGGAACTTTGGCCGCTTCGAATGGTCAAGGCCCGTCCAAGAGGCCGTATGACTGACAGGTAAAGCAACCAATCAAGCTTCGTTTTGTGTCGCATCATGTTTAGGGGCGTGGAAATGTCACCACAACAACAGACCAGTGTATAAAACTCTTGGATGTATTTTAAGGATTTTATGCCACGAACTTGAAATATTTCACATACTTTTGAAAATCCAGCATTTAGATGATCCTGATAAGCGCCCACTAGCTGCGTTTCCATCCACCTATTTTTATGCACATTTTGGAATATCGCATAAAAAACCCGCTGGATGGAAATGCCAAGATGCGCATAAATTCTAAAAATGCACATAAAAAACTTATGCGCACATTTGAGTAGGATAAACTTTTTATCCGATAAGAAAAAATGTGCATAAACTACGATGGAAACACATTTACTGAATAAATTCCTTCATGAGCATCGAAAAAGTCATGTGACTTCCACAATAACAGACCGGTGTGTAAAACTCTCGGACGTATTTTAAAGATTCTATGCCACGAACTTGAAATATTTCACATACTTTTGAAAATCCAGCATTTAGATGATCCTGATAAGCGCCCACTAGCTGCGTTTCCATCCACCTATTTTTATGCACATTTTGGAATATCGCATAAAAAACCCGCTGGATGGAAATGCCAAGATGCGCATAAATTCTAAAAATGCGCATAAAAAACTTATGCGCACATTTGAGTAGGATAAACTTTTTATCCGATAAGAAAAAATGTGCATAAACTACGATGGAAACACATTTACTGAATAAATTCCTTCATGAGCATCGAAAAAGTCATGTGACTTTGTGCTATGATACGGGATAACTTGACTAACAGCTAACCGACCTTGTTCACAACATCTATATGTTGTTATGGTCATTCTGAAATGCCTGAGCAAAGTCTGCCGTCAAAGTATTTCTGTATAATTGTTACACGACTGTGTTCCCAAACAGCAGCATCCACCTCCGAAAGCACTGACAGCATTTATTGTGTTAAATCTGCTCGCTCTGAGGGGCAAGTAATTTATATCATATATGAAAATTATTATATTCAGTGGCTTCTCCTAAATTCTTATTGATATTTAGTGCCACAGTTTACCAGGAAGTGACGATTTTGTTCTCTTTGACTCATTGGATGGAAACAGTGCTTTATTCGCATATGTTTCATGCGATATTCCAGTTTTGCGCATAAGTTTAATTCAAATCTTTGGATGGAAACATAGCTATTGTCACAGTTGTAAACACGACGGCTTTCTTCTTCCACGAGGGGTTTGGCGTCACAGCCTCTTTGTTTCCAGGCGGTTTGTTAAAGAACGTGACATGCACGTCTTCCAGACGTTCAGCCAGCGGTCCAATACAAATATGATTATTAGTGTATTTTCCCCCCTATATACTGTGATAAATGAAGAAGGTGATAATTTGTTCAAAGCAGTAAAGATGAGAACTACGAAATATTTCACTGGGATCATTTTATGGCCATTCCCTACCAGGCACATTGAAGTTCAGGTAACGGGAAACACAGTAACTGGTTCAGGAACATCGCCACCCACATACAGGACTGCCATTGGCTGAGCAAATGGGCCACACCCAGATCTAGGCCCCTCCTTTGTCCTGGATTGACCCTCAGATGAGATAATCGCTGACATATAGAAGCAGAAGGTTTGCTGCCAAATAGTGGGTCTGTATGATAGAGAAAGCAAAACAATATGACTGAAGGTGATTAAAGCTCTGAAAACTGAAGACATCAAGTTAAGCAAATAAAGTTCATTCATATCATAATAGATTTTATCTACAATTTAGGTCAGTTTCTCAAATTATTTTTTCTGTGTGGCAAACCAAACACCTGCGACAGATGTTGAGTAAAAAAGGGGTCAGAGATACCATCAGGATGGGCCCTTCTCCAGCTGAGTTCCCCGTACACCAGTCCCAACAATATGGCCTGCAGTAGAGGCTGACTGGGCTTTGGTTTACAGTTATTCATCCAGAAATACGTCACACACACTGGAAGGCAAAGGTGAGGGGGTAATGGCTGTAAAACGTGGTCCATCACACCAAGTGTTCCCAACAACACTTGCAGCCTCATTTGTATAGGCGCCTTAAATAAAAAAACAAGAGGTAATTGGAGGAATATATATGCAGACAATATTTACATGCAGGAATCGTTTCTCACCTTGTCAATTGCTGCGAGATCAAGCTGTGGCACACAGCTGGGTCGGTGAGCCTCCAATGTGTTTTTCTTAAGATTCAGTTCTTGTCTGTCATATTCATCAACACATGGGATGCCACACTGTTGTCCTCCTTTACCCTGAGATTGTCTTCCTCTTCCTCTCTGGCTGACTCCCTGTGGCGTCTGAATATCCTGTCTTGCCTTTTCAAGCAGGAGGCTGTAGATAGTCTTTCGGATACTCAATGAGGTTGTATGACTGCTGGGCAGGTTACTATTCTCCACCTGCGCAACTAACAGAACCTTCTGGTGTACAAGCACATCCAAGACAAACGATGACAGCTTACCTGATGCAACCATCCTTAAAAGCCATTCGGGTTGAGAAACCAGTGCTGCTGGGAGTCCCTGGGCATCTGGAAGTGCTGGTTGGGGACTTGAGAAGTACTGAGCCAAACTGCTTCTCTGAGGAAGCTGGTAGTCCTGCATTCCTGCGGAGAGCTGCATACGCAAGTTTCCTTTCCGTTGTTCACCCAAAATCTCCAGGACATCCTCCAGAGCATCTACTGGGCTGGTAAACTGAGACAGCCAGAGCAAAAAGCCCTCGATTCGAGGACTGGAACTACGTCCATACTTCCGACCGGAAGGTACTCTTTCGAGGTCCACACGGCTGAAGAAAATCTCAGTTATTTTAGCAGGTGTGTAGTCATTCCCGATGACAACAGCAAATAGAGGGAGGAGCTGCTTGTTCATGTGGTTGAAATGCGAGCAGAAGCGGTTCACTGTGAAATTGCGCGCAGGGATGTAGCGTTCCGTGGCCTTACCACTGACGTTATTCCATTGGAAGAATGAAAAAGGTAGATAGCCACCTTTGAGGTCGAAGATGTAGAAGTCACTGTCGTTGGTCAGAACTGGACATCCCCAGTGTTTCGCAAGAGAGGCTATTTCAAAATCAGCTTCGGAAATACATTGAACTAAAGGTACGCCAAGCTCTGAAAGGGCCTGTATGAAGACTTCACGTGCAAGCAGAGGGAGAACAGAACCGTGAGATCCTCGGGAAAGAGCGTGAGCCTCTCGGATTTTGCTTTGGGCCCTTTCCTGTAGTGTCTTGAACTTCTTGTCCGTCTGGTCCATTCCGCCATCTAACACAACAAATGGCTGCACAGCACATTCTGATAGTGCTGCAAAAAACTGTCGAACCAACACCACAAACGTCTCGTAGTCTCCCCCCCGTGCTTGATCCAACCCAGAGTTGAAATATAATCGAAAATACAAACTACACCCATCAATCACTAGGCGGCAGTCTCGCAGTCTCATATCTGTGAAGAACTGACAATTTCCTTCCACAAAACTTGTAAGTCCGTGAACCCCCATGATGCCACAGAAATGCTGCAAGGAAAACAGCAATGTTATTGCTTGTTTTTGCTGGAAATGTAATGAACCAATACAATTATTTTTTATGCATATACCAGACAAAACAAATACCTTCTAACAGGATCTGATAGAGACTGGAATAAAGATTTCTGGCGTATAGATTCAGTCTAACATTTTGGCATAGTCGGCATGAACATTACTATTTAATCACTTGATTACATGTGACCTACTTCAGCTACTGTCTGGTAATGTGTCCTTTGGCCTACAATCCCTAATATTGCAGAATGTAGACATATTTACCTGAATTTGGTCTATTATAAAATATGTATAAAGTCATATGAAAAAGAAAGAACACCCTATTGAATTCCATGGTTTTCTGTATCAGGACATAATAAAAAAAAATCTAGTCCTTGGCAGGTCTTAAAATTTGGAAAATAAAACCTCAGATTGGACAACAACACATGACATATCACACCGTTTCATTTATTTAACAAAAACTAGGCTAAAATGGAAAAGCCATGGGTGACAAGCTATCCTTACTGTTAGCATAAGAAATAAGAGGGTAAGGTCCGGCACTGTTAATCAAATACCTTTGATTAACTGATCATCAGCAAGTGTGAGCACCTCTATAAAAGTTTTGGCAGTTTGCTGGTCTTGCATCTGAACAAACCATAAGACTTCTAGAACACTGTCCTTTGAACAGACGAGACCAAAGTGCAGATGTTCGGCCGTAATGCACGGCTCCTTGTTTGGTGAAAGCCAAAAAAAGCATTTCAGCACAAACACCTCATACCAAAAGTCACACATGCTGGTGGAGCCGTGGAGGGCTGATGATTTTGGGCTTGTATTGTAGCCACAGGACCTGGGCACCTCACAGTAATTGGGCCGACTATGAACTCCTCGGTATATAAACCTATTGCTAAAATTGGGTCATGCAGCAGGACAATGATCCCAAGCACAACAGCAAATCTACAACAAAACAGCTGAAAAAGAAAAGAATCAATGTATTGCAATAGCCCAGTCAAAGTCCAGACCTCATCCAGACTGAAATGCTGTGGTGAGAGCTGTGCATAAACAAATACCCACAAACCTCAATAAACTGGAACAATGTTGTAAAGACGAGTAGGCCAAAACTCTTCCAGAACGTGAGAATGTGAATGTGTGAGACTGATAAAATCATATAAAAAATTATTACTTCAAATTATTGCTGCTTAAATTGGATCTACAAGCAACTGAATCATAGGTTGTCCTTAGTTTGTCACCCATGGCTTTTCCATATTGGCTTTATTTTTGTTAAAGGGGTCATATGATGCTATTTCAATTTTTCCTTTCTCTTTGGAGTGTTACAAGCTCTTGGTGCATAAAGAAGATCTGTAAAGTTGCAAAGACTAAAGTCTCAAATCCAAAGAGATATTCTTTATAAAAGTTAAGAGTCAACCAGGCCTCCACATGTCTACGTCACGATGTGGGAAGATTTGCATAACGCCGCCCAAATGTTCACGCAAAGAAAGAAGGCTTAACTTTGATTCTTGCTGTAGTATTGTTGTTGCCATGTGTTTTGTTGTGAAAGTGAAACTACTTTGTTTGGTCTTCCAAAAGAGGACGATATCCGCTTCCTCATGCCTAGAGCAGATCCGTGCTGGTTGCTGAGGAAATACATCAACTTCGCGCTGTGGATCGCCGGATCGGCTTCACTGTGGACGAAGAGGAGTCCAGCCCGGGGTCGTCACATGTGGTTGCCGCAAGCCTCCGCTCACTCAAGCCACCGGCTCTTTTGGAAGGACAGTCTGGCGCTTCTGACTTCTGACAGTTTGTAAGTACGTTTTCATTTAAAGAATTTGCCACTGATGATTCAAACGCGATTTTTGAGCAGTGTAGAGTAGCGCTTGTTGTTTGTCATTTCTCCCATCACAAATGCAGACGTGGTTTTATGTTTACACGATGCAACGCTTTGCAACAATTAACATATGTTTTTGTAACATGCTTAACCCTGTCAAATAATATGCTTTAAGTACGTTTGGAGAGGTTCACAGCAATATTGTATTTATTTTTAATGGATATTCTTTCACTTGATGTGTTCAGAGATATTCAGATATTTATCTGTCTATATATTGCGGAGTGGCTGCATAAGTGTCTGTCTGCACAAGTTATACATAAACCAGTAACAGTAATGTCTATTTTATAAAACAAGCACCAGTTTAATATCTAAATAGCACAAGGTTTTTTGTCCAGTAGTGAATTTTAAACAAACATCTCTTTCTTGTTTTACTCACTAGTATGTTGTCATATGCGATGTATTAACTTCCTCTAGATCCACCTCGTGGTTCGTTATTTAGGCGTGACAGACTGTTTTAGCGCATTAGCGCCACCTATTGGAATGGATATTCTCAATGACGCTGTTGTCCCTCTGTGTAATATCAAAACTGCCTCTGTGGCTCTATTAAACATTGTAAAGAGCTTTAATTTGTAATTGTTTAATTGTTTAAAGTTTATACAGGAATTTAATATGTTAGGGTAGGATTAAAAAGACAGCAAAAATCATCTGACAAGTAAAACGTTTGCTGTCAAGGTCCCTTTCAAGTGCTTTGTCCACTACTTTTATGAATAGTAGTAAGGAAAAAAAACATGCTTTTTGATCAATCATAATTATGCATAGGCTACTAAATCATAACTGAGATAAAAAGTATTAGCTATGACTAAAATTGAATTATGAATATGAAAAAATGAAAAACTTACATCGACTTTTTATCTCACAATTATAATTTACCAAAACTTGATTTTCATGGTATGTGGCTGAAATGTGCTTCCATACAGCAACATAAATAATAAATGAGTAAAGTAAATAAGCATCGAGCAAAAGTAGTTCTCATTTATGTTTATTCCTTTTATAACGTCTTTGCATTGAGAGCATCATGTGCGCTTCAAATAGAACTTCCATTTACTTTTATCTTCTCATGTTTTGTGTTCCTACAAAATTATGTTTTTATTCACCAACGCTACCCCCTAATGCAGCAGTACGGCAGACCTGTCTAAATCACACACACATACATACTCTCTGATCAACACAAGAACGATCACACTTCCTTTAACATAATATACACACACACACACACACACACATACATAGCATGTCATATGGAAATCAAAAAATACTTCTTGTGTTAAACTCAAAAGGAAGAAGGAAAGACACAGGTAGCGTCCAGAGAGCATGTAACAGACTTTAAATGCTATGATTCTTCGAGAAAGTTCAAAAGAACAGCATTTATTTAAAATAAAAATCTTTTGTAATTGTATACATCTTTACTGTCAATTGATCAATTTAATGCATCCTTGTTGAATAAAAAGTATTAATTTTGTTTAAATATTCATGTATTTAAATGTCATTTTATATTTTATTTATTTTCTGAATTTTTATCATCCTCATAAGCCCCGTGGCTTAATACGTTGGGGAATGTGCCCTAAAAGCTAAGCCAGCTCTAACACATATGTTACAAATAAGCAGCATTTGGAAATATTTAATTACAAATCGATCCGTTGTTGAAAAACATTATTTTAACACCCGTTTAAACAATTCTGACACCTGTTCAAATATTCTCAATCATATATGCCACTATTTCACACACAAATTTCTCTCACCTGCCCCGGCGACGTCTACGAGCCCAGCTCCCCCACCGACTCCTCTCTCTGCTCTCACACACTGCATGGCGGCTCAGAAACACAGCGTCAGAGAGATCCTCCACCTATGCATTGAATGGTCGAGAAAATCAATAGACAAAATACCAGGTGTCTTAAGAAAAAATCCCAGGTATACACACCTCTTCCTCCTCAATGTCCAGTCCTTCCCCATTGGGCTGGTGCTGTATGTTATTGTAATTGAATGACAGGGCATGTGCCCCTTCCTGGTTTTTAGAGACCCCTGAGAGAGAGTCCAGCTCCCTCCAACTAAACAAATGACATAGGACACACAATGACATGCTAGACTAATATATCAGCCAACAGTTTAAGACTATCAGCATCAGCCAAAAAACCTGCTGGTTTGGCCAGTTAACAGACATGACAGTTTCTCATTCTCACACATCCCAAATCTTCTGAATGCCACGTCAACAAACAACAAAAAATGTTTTTAAAACATATTACTGAATTTTAAGTACTTTTAAGTAATTTTGTAGTGTAAATTAAGAGTTCCTTTAATCATTTGCTCTCAGCGGTTGTGTATATCTGGTATTCTTTTATATAAAACCATCAGTGATCCTGCTCTCAAGTTATCAGTATCACTACAGGAAACCCATAGCAGTATGCTAGTACACTGTTGTCACTTTTTAAGCTTCTTTATAATATAATGTAAATACACTGTATGCTAATGTTGCCAGACTGGCTCCAGTTTGGAATGTACCTGTACTACTTTATAAACAATGGGACACAAGGAATCAGTGGATACTTGGCACTTTGTTTGAATAATTAATGGGAAATTACTTGAAACCAAAGCCACTTTGAACAATGGCTATCTGACAGAAGGACCACAGGTCACAAGTCCGACTCATCAAAGCTAAATGTTCATTATGTAATCGCTCATTCTTCTTGTAATATTTTTGAGCGAGTGCATATTCGGTGTAGTGGTTTTGGAGGTCAGGGTGCATTATTCGTACCTTGGTGTGATAATTTCCTTGTATTGTAGTCTTTGTACGCGTGCTCCTAGTCCAGCCAGGCCCAAAGGCATCACCAGGTTGTCAATGTCAAATGAGCTTTCAGCTCTTCTCCTTCTCAAAGGCTGAGGAACAAGAGAGAGATTTAGGAGGCATCCACAACACATAGAATTGTGAGATGCTGACATTTTGCTTTTTTTAATCAAATGTACCTGAGTGGGTGTGTCTGTTGTTGGGGGTATAGCCGGCAGGATGGGCAAATCTGGAGCTCGTGGATGAAGATAATTGGGAATAATCACACCCCTCTGGCTTCTGCACCCAGATCCACCTACAAAAGCAAATTTTTTTTTTTTACATTGTTGAAAATGGTAATAAAATTTTTTTAAAAATAAATACTTTTTTTAAAGTATGTCTCTCATGCTCAATAAGGCTGTGTCCACAAATTCTTGGATGACTCTTGAATGAACAGGAAGTTCAGAAGAACAGCATTCATAATTGTAACACTATAAATGTCTTTACTCTGAATGAAAGTAACTTTTTTAAAAACAATTAAAAAATATCTTACTGACCCCAAATATTTAAATGGTTGTGTAATACAGTATATACTCTGTTTATGTGTGTGTGCTAATATAAGAGACAATATATATTTCACCCACCAGGTGTGCTAAATAAAGGAGGCAGTGCATTGGGCGGACGGGGACAAACTAGTCTCCTCCTCACTCTCCCAACTCGTCCCTGGCCCCGCCTTCCCGGCCAAAAGGACGCAGATGACACGTCTGTCCACTGTAGTGAATTATTAGAATGGTGCCCGGCCAGCGGGCGTATCCCACAATGCAGTGCAAGGGGTGAATCTGCAATGGAGGAAATTCAAAGCATTTAAGGTAAAAAGTAAATGTGACTGTTATGTGTTTTCCACACTCATTTCATCCACAGTGGCCCCAAAAAGTATAAGGACACTTACAAAGCCACACTTATATATATATATATATATATATGACTATTATATATAAGTGTGGCTTTGTAGATATATATATATATATACACACACAGTATATAGTTAATATAAAAATCTTATTATATAATTACATTAAAGTAATATTATAGTTATATAGTTATTTATATATAATATTATTTTGCATTGTTTTTATATGATATATTTATAATAAAAATAAATTCATTTTTAAATAAATAAACATTCTCAATAAATGTATTATATTCAATATATACATTTTTAAAAAAATGTGACAAATCTCAGCACCATTTTAATGTGAAAGCCACACAGGGGTATAACTCAAGGTTACTTTCAAGGACATCAATATAAAAGGAACATTTAAATAGCCTTGTACAGTTTGTACTGTTGAAATACAAGCTAAATATACACAATTATGTGCTTACAAAGAAAAGAAATAATCTTGAGATTATACAGAGAGAATATACAGATCTCACCTGATGGCATTGAGAGGACAGGGTGAACGGACATATCGAGCCAGGTCTGACGCATCCACAGACCTTTCTCCTTATCTGAGGGGGAGCGAGGAGGAGCACCACCACATAACACACACACAGACGGTGGCTCACACCAGCACTGTAACGAAACCGCCTGAGAGGGACACACAAATTCAAAAACTCATCATTGTGATTCACGTTTTTTTTTATCCTCTCTTCAAGGCATAATTCAAAATGAAGAGCAGCCAATAATAATAAACGTTACTCTGCATTACAGAAAAGAAGCAGCAATGTCAACTCTGAGACCATCTTCACCTTTGACTCCAGCACTGTGCAATCTTCCAGGCGAACGAGTCTGTGACGTCGTTGCCGGAGTAGCGGTCGAACTCGTGCGGCAGAAGGTGGTGGACTGGGCACTGTTTGCGGAGTGGTGGTGTCTTCTGTCTGCCACTTCCTGTTAGGATCACCAGCAGAGGATATCCTAGGGGGTAGTTCAATAGTACATTAAATGTCAAATCCAAAATTGACCAGTTTGTGTTTGCATGCAACTTAAATCTTCCACTGACTTGCAGTTGTGTGACGCGGGGGAGGGGTTTGATGCTCTGAGGGGCGTGTCAGGGACAGAGTAAGTGGACCGCACCTGGACGAAACATAAAAAATACAGATGAATCCATCCATCCATAATAACCCGAAAATACACACATGGACACCCAGAATACCTTTCCCTGTCGAAGATGTGTGTAAAGCTCTGTCAACGCACGGATCCGATACTCAAGCTCCGATACTTGAGTCTGCAGCCACACCCACCTGCTGCCAAGCCACGCCCTGCTCTCCGCCCACTGCCATTCTTTGCCAGTGACACTGAAAGAGAAGAAGCTAAATACTGAGTATATGCATAAACAATGTGATGTAAATATAAAGTTTTTTTTTACATATTACATTTATGACATTTTTGTCCAATGCAACTTGCATTCATCACTCTTAAAAAATAAAGGTTCTAAAAGGGTGTTTCTGTTGAAGAAATATTTCGGGTTCCCCAAAGAACCTTTCAGCGACTAGCTCTTAAAATATCCATGCTTCTCCTTGTTATGAAGAACATTTAATAATCCTAAGAACCCTTTTACACTATAAAGAATCTTTTGTGCATTGGTAAGTTTCCATGGAAGTTAAAGTCTCTTCATGGAACCATAAATGCCAATAAAGAACCTTTATTTTTAAGAGAAAAAGTATATGGTTTAGTCAACCCTAGTGGACCATTTTAGAGGTCCTAAAAGAATTAAGAATTGAAATGAAGCTTCTTCTGACCCATTTTATTCCCAACAGCCTGGCATGAAATGGCTTTGTAACCTCTCAATGTGGCAGCCATGAATCAACGGCCAGTAAAGCATGTACATTGTAAAGTACAGTGGTGATTCAAAAGGCAACACCAACATGCCATGAGTCATCTGAAGCTTTTACACGTGTACATGTATGTATATAAAAACAGGCTGAGCACTTAACATTTAAAATGGTCATTTTAAAGGAATAATCCCCCCGAAATGAAACTTGTCATCATTTACTCACCCTCATACTGTTTCAAATCTGTATGCATATCTTTTTTCTGTGAACACAAAATTATTTATTTTGAAGAATGTTTAGAACCATACAGTTTCAGTTCTCATTGACTTTGAGTATGTTTTCCCATACAGTAGAAGCCAATGGGAACCAACCCTGTTTGGTTATAAACATTCTTCAAAATGTATTCTTTTGTCACAGAAGAAAGTAAGTCATCCAGGTTTGGAAGGACACAAGGGTGAGTAAATGATGACAATGTTCATTTTTGGGTGAACTATCCCTTCAACCCTGGGTTATCTTGTTCCATCTTGTACCTGGGCCTTTTTTTATCTTTGGCATCTCAACATTCCTTAACTCAGGGTTAAGAGATCTTAACCTGGGGTTAAGCATAGTGTGAAAAGCTTACATTGATTTTATTGGCAGTGGTCTAAAGCGACGACCCCCTCTCTCCAATCCCTCATCTTCCTCACTGTCACCGCCGGAGCTGCTGGCCGTGTGGTCCGAGTCCAGGGCGCTCTCTGCAGACCGGAGGATCTCGCTGCAGCTGAACGCCAGCCTGCTCAGCTCGGCCGAGTTTCTGGACGCAGCATTGGTCCTTCTGGTGCAGCTCAACCCCAGGCTCCTGTATAGGCCATGCAGCTGCTGCGTGACATGTCTCTCCACCTGCTTCACTTGTACGGCCTGCAGGCGCCTCCAGAGGTGGTCGGTCCGACCCTCCAGCTCTGCCTGTCTGCATTTGGCTTCACCCCTCACCGCCTCTATTTGCTCCGTGCTGGGGCCCTCAGTCCCCTGTGCATCAATGCCCACACCTGTACCGTCACACTTCTGTGGCTCTGGCTCTGTCCCGTTAGGAGGCCCACTCTCAGACTGAGAAGAACTGATAGAGAGGGCACACAGGGGCTTTTTTACGCAACCACGAAGGTCGGGCTCAGCTTGGAGGGAGGGTTGCGGTGGGAGGCTATTGTGAGGGGCAGCGTTTCCGCTGACCCCGTTGTTATGGTTGGCAGATCTGGAAAGAAAGGAGCGCACCCTGTAAAGTCTGACGCGCCCCTTCGCCGTCCTGTATGTGGGCAGCTGAGCACTTTCATCCGGCGGGCACGCTGTGAAATTAATTTTTTGGGCCCCGGTCGTGTTTTCGCAGTGGATACGCTGTAAGGACTTGCGCCTGAAAGTCTCGGCAGTGCTCGCGGAGCCCTTCCCGTGAGCTTCACCATTGGAACCAACGCGGGCCGCGGCGTCCGAGAAACACACCCTCTTGGAGGCTCGGGTGAAACGGCATCCCCGGCGCTTGATGACCGCGGGCTCGGGATTCCCGTGACCACACCTTGCAGCGGCTGTCATCATCTCGGTCTCGGCGTGCGCCGTGTGTCCGCGTCGGACTCTCGCGGTGCGCACCGGCGGCAGTCTCGCGCTCGCTCTGCGCTCGTCCCTTCTTGTCGTAACGCTCGTGAAACGCCGCAAACCAGCTTCTTCATGATCAATATTAATGGTGTTATCCTCGCCCGCTCCAGTGCTTTGTCTACAGAAACGCCCGCGTCCTCCGCCGTATTCCCCCGAATCCGCGCATTCGTCTCCCTCCCGTGTGATATTGGCAGCGCCGTTCGTAAAAAATCCCCCCTCGTTCATTTTCTGGGCCGGATCCGCATCGCCGGAGGTGGCATCGTCCCATTCGCGGAACGCCTGGGCCTCGGCTACGCTGCTCTCCCTGTCTGAGCTCCGCACTGGGGCCGCGCTGGTGGCTGTAGCCGCAGCGGCCGAGCTTCCGTCACCGCTGACGGGCTCACCGCAGCCTCCTCCCCCGCAGCAGCGGCTGGCGCTATGCGGACACCCGGCCCCGCAACTCTCCACTCCAGGCCCGGCTGCACTAGCGCTCATTTTATTCCGATTGCAGTAATAATACATCGCTGTGTCGTTGGCATGGCCGGGTGTGAAACGAGGACATCCAACGAAGCTCCGTTAACGTATTTTTTTCCTTTTCGAAAGGAAGACGGGCTTCTCTTTTCACCCGTATTCTCTTTCCCTGCACTGTTGGCTGTCTCCAACACTCCCTATTCGCACTGAGCATGCGCCATTCACTGGCCCAACCTTCGATAAAGAATTAGGGGTATTTCAAAAACTAGTTCACATTTTTAGCTTGTCACATGCCCTGGGTTGATCTTAATTGCGCGTGGTATTGAAAATAACAATAGATTAAAAAATAGAACTCTCCTAATCTGTGTAGCATTTGAGTTAAGGACACAGCACTTGTCTGAAGGTCTGGGTGGGATGGGAAGGGCAGCTGCATTTCGACATTCTTAACAATGAGGACAAAAACAACATATGATTTGTTCTATTATGGACCTCTTTAAAGCAATTATGAAGAAAACAGACAAAATAGCAATTAAAAATATATATATATATATATATATATAATTAAAACTATATTTTTTATTTAATTGCTCCCCCCCTCTCCTCCTTTATGGCCATATGATTATGCATAAACGATTATTTAATTCCAGTGTTACAATTTAGTTGCAATGTTTAAAGTAGAGTATGACTGCTGAACGAATGTTTTGCCATCCTAAACTTACATATCATATTTTTGGTTTATTGTTTTCTTCTACTTTGTGTACTAATCTGACGAAATAATACCTCTTGAAATAATGGGCCGTATGCAGTATGTACTGTGTGTAGTATCAAAGTCCCTCTTTGGTAGTATGCAGTTGGCGTCGTTGGCGCCTTTTTTGGTCTTACCGCTAGAGGCGCTGTGGAGTCTGCAGTCATTCTGGGTAGCGAAGGGAAGGTTAATTATTAACATGTAAAAATGGCTACGCAAGCGCTAGGCTCTGCTGCTGGACCTACGACGAGTCAAGCCGGTTGTAGCTCTTCATTGAGCCGAAGGATGGACGGTGGGCCGTGCTGTAAATTCTGGGAAAGCCCGGAAATAATATCTCAGTTGGAGACAGTTCGCAGTTGGATTGGAAAGCATTATAAAAAGGTTAGCGAGCTAAATAGCCGGCGACCCCACATATGATGTGGTTCCCTGAAGCCTTTTTTAAAATGTATTTATTTACAGACAGCTCTGGTTGCCTTGCTATTTTTGTGGTTTTAATTTTTGTGGCAAATTCTCTTTTATGTGGTGGTAGTTTGTCTGTTTGCCTCGTATAATATATAAATGAACAGAATACGGTCTCAACCTAATTGACTGGACAGAAGTGTCAACCTTCATTCTGTGTTCATTTTAGCGGTAACGTTAAAGTTATGTTTATATCAAACTCCACCTTTTGAGTCAGTATAAAATAAAAGACTCATTTGTAGTTTCCATATGAGGCGGCGTAAGTAAATGTTTATGTTAGCAACATGCTAGCAGCTTTAAATTTGCAGAAACAGGTTCATTGTCAAAGGTGTTTGTTTACACGACCTGATTGACACACCCCCTTCTCAGTGCCATGCCATCCCTGTCCACTTCCCACTGTGTAGGTAACACATACCTTGGTGCATCTAAAGTCTTAAACTGTTTGAATGTGAAAACTAGGGATGCACGATATATCGGCATCGGCCGATAAATGCTCATTTTTTCTGTTATCGGTATCGGCCTGATAAGAAAATTTGGCCAATATCTTAAAGCCGATAAATAATGCATTATTTCCTTCAGCGACACTTCAGATGCGCCTTGTTCGTTTGCAGCCTTTTGTGCAATTGTACGTTGTAATATTGTGTTTATTTGATGTATATCTGATTTATCTCATATAGAATGCGTTTGGTTAAGTTAAAAGAGCGCTTCAGTTTACCGGTGATCATCTTTAGCTCAGCACACGCAGCTCAAACAGCAGTGCACAACATTAATAACTATGATTGGGAATGCTGTGTATATAACATTCTAATGAGAACATTATTATAATAAAACGTTGTGCATTCTTTGGGTTTAGTTGCTGTGTTTCAGCGCGTTGAAATGGGAAGAGCGCATCCACAACAGGATCACACATTCGGACTATAGCACGCAATAACTGCATCATTTTGTACATATATAAGTTGTAATATTATGTTTATGTTGTATTAATATTAATCTCAGGATGCATTTCCTTGAGTTAAATAAGCTGCCAGCAAAACGCTTCAGTTTACCGTGTTCATTCAGCTCTTCAGCTTCAGCACGCGCAGCTCAACGACTGCTATTTAAAACAGTGGTATTAATTTGTTACTTTTTCAAAATAATTGATA